AATTGTCATTCGTGACAGTTTGGTGGAGGTGCTGGGTATCGCATTCCATGCCCGTTAAACGTACAGAGCGCGACACTGTTAGCGCGAACAAGCGATCGCCGGTTTTTCCAGTTTTTCTTTTTGAAACCAAGGGATGTCATCCAAGTTATCATTGCTACGCAAAGAGCTCATTTAATTTTATAATGTAAGCGATACGATTTCGTGCTCGCTAATACCATTTAGAAGTAAAATGCGAAAACGCGCAGATGTCGTGTTCGCGCTAACAGTGTCGTGATGTGTACTTCTCAGAAGTTCTGTCGGGCGCGATCATTTTCCAGTGTTCGGGCCCGACTGCCGCAACCAAGGTCAGCCTCCCGAGTTTGGTCAACTACCAGAACAGCTGAGGAAGAAGAAGGCGCCGACGATGAACACCACGTCACAGCAAGACGGAATGCCACCGACATCCATCATCCACATGCAGGACCCGCCACGGACGCCGGCAACTTTCAATGGCGACCTCTTTTAAGATGTGTACAACTGGTTAAGCAAGTACGAGCGCGTCGCCGGGTTCAGCGGAGAGGAGGGGGGGGGGGGGGGGGAAGGGGCTGAGCAAAACTTGCTGAACGTCTACTTCGCTTTGGAAGGCACGGCCGGCTCCTGGTACGAGAACCACGGAGCGTCGATTTCATCGTGGGAAGAATTCCAGGCCGAGCTGCGACGCACCTTTGCCAATTAGCAGTGACGACAGTGGGCCGAAGAACTTCTGCAAGCAAGAACCCAAGGGCCGAAGGAGAGCATCACAAGCTTCGTCGAAGACGTTCTCCGCCTGATAAACCCCACCGACCCAAATGCTCCTGAAGAGAGAAAGCTGCTGGTCCTGATGCGGGCCTGAAAGAAAACATCTTCGAAGGCCTTGTGCGGAACCCGTTGACCACCGTCGAAGCCTTCATCACGGAGGCAACAAACATCGAGCGCGCCCTCCAAGCGCGCGCTTCCCACTACCAGAGATATCCAGGCGTCGCTACATCTACCCTGTTTTGCGGCGAAACTGCCCCTGTTACCCCGGACATCCGCGAAATTATCCGGACGTCGTCCGGGAGGAAATGAGAAAGTTGCTACCAGCCGCTTAGTCGTCCAGCGACCCTCTTCATCGCCGAGGTTGTGCGCGAGGAAGTCCAACCTGAAGTTCCCATCAACACGACGACACCGGAGGAACCGAGGTTGAGGCCGCCATGGCCCGACGACCACCGCAAGCTAACGGCTAAGCTACGGCGCCGCTCCGACGAGACACCCCGATGCCGGTGTATCCTCCAAGGCCAGTACGCCCGCCAGGAACGACCCTCGCCGAGGAAGACCGACGTGTGGAGGACGGCCGATCGACGCCCGTTGTGCTACCACTGCGGAGAAGCCGACCATCTCTACCGCCGTTGCCCCTACCGGCAAATAGGGCTGCGCGGCTTCCACCCGAACGACCCACGTCCATGCTACGGTGAGCGACCGCGGGAGATCGAAGAATACCTCAGATAACATCAGTCTCCCCCGCCTGCACCTCACCACGGGTCCCGGTCGCCATTGCCGCGTAGTCCAGCTGCGCCGATGCACCGACCCCGTCGTGAGAGCCTGTCGCCCTTGTCGCGCCGGGAAAACTAAGCGCGGCAACCCTTGGAGGTGGAGTTGCCGTAGACCAACGACGTGAAGAGCCTCCAAAAACGCCGGAGGCCCCCCGCTCGACCGACGACGTGCATGGGAGCGACGCTTTTGCAACGGTGCCCAACAGCCTCAACGTGACCATCGACGGCCGCGACGCGTTGGGACTCGTGCATGGACACACCGGAGCAGACTACTCCGTCTTGGGTGGGAAGCTTACACGCCGTTTTCGGAAAGTGACAACGCCGTGGGAGGCCCTCAAATACGAACCGCCGGTGGGCACTTCATCACTCTAGTCGGGATTTGCACTGGTCGTGTCGAGGTCCACGGTGAGACGCCCTGTCAAGTTCGTCGTTCTGCAAGACTGTGCGAGGGATGTTATCCTCGAAATGGGACTTTCTCTGCCAGCCTGGCGCCGTCATCGACCTCGAAGAAAACCGGCTGACGCTACGAAAACCTGCTTCCCCACCCGAGGAACCGAAAGCGACGTAATCCGCTATCCGAGTACTCGCAAACCACGTGAAATTACCGCCGCGGTCGAGTGTATTCGTACTCGTCGGGATCGATGAAGCTTCCTGCGGCGAAGTTCTGCTCAAGGAAAGCTTCCGGTTGCTTCTAGAAAGAGGAATCGGTGTCGTACGTGGAGTAACAGAACTTCAAGACGAGCCCGCCATGGTCCTGGTTACAAATTTCATTGGAGAGCCCTCAGCCCCTTACGAAAGGTATCGCGGTGGGCCACATCGACGAACTCGAGAACTGAGCCACGATCGCTGCACTTTCGGAATAGCTGACTTCGTCGCAGCGCGAGAGAACGCGCCCCCGGAAATTGACATCGACCCGAAGCTCCTAGCTACTGAACCAGGACGGCTGCTTGGCCTTCTGAGCGAATGGTGTCACGTCACGTATGAATAAATTAAGTTTCTCCGCTAGATTTAGCGGGAAAATTGACGTCACATGACCTTAACACCAATTCAATTTCCCCGCTAAATTTAGCGGGGAAACTGACGTCACATGACTTGTCACGTTCCCTATAACCAAATTCAGTTCTGACGTCACGTGACCTCAGCAGCAAATCAATTACCCACTAAATTTAGCGGGGAATGAATGGCGGTTGAGGTCACGTGGTGTCAATTTTTCAGCTATATTTAGCGGGGAAACCGGGGAAGGAGGAGGAGGAGGGGAGGGAACGAAGGAGGAGGATAAGAGGGCACGCAGGAGGAGGGGAAGGCAGAGAGGAGGAGGAGGAGGAGGGGGAAGGACGAAGAGCAGAGGAGGAGGAGAGGAAGAGAAGGAAAGGTGGGGAGGACGAGGGGCAAAGGAGAAGAACGGGAGGAGGAGGGGAGAAGGAGAGGGTACGTAAGAGGAGGAGGGGCGTACCCTCCCCTCCTCCTTATCAAAAGCTGCGCTCTAATTTCGCTTTACAGGGGTGTGTAAACGTCTTTCATTTCTTTTAATTAGGGAAAATCGACACATGGTTCCAATTAGAAACTTGCTGAGCGTCATCAAAAACTACTAAATGTGTAATTTTCAGAAAAGACTTTGAGCGCGTGGGCTGCGGTAAGGCGCCCGCGCACTTTTTCACACACACACAAACACACGCACACACACACACGCGCGCGCACGAGCACGCAGACGCACGTGCACGCGCGCACACGCAGACGCACACGCACGCGCGCACACGCACATGCACACACACACAAACACACACACACACATATATATTGTTAATTTAGGTATAGTTCATATGCAAGACACCCCAATGTAAACTTAAGAAAGGCCAGAAATACAAAATTCAACGTCATTTAAAAATAAAACAATGTATTTTTACTTTTTTCGAATTTTTTATACGAAGATATCTTTTTTTTTTTATATATACACGAACCAACGTTATAGACCCCTTTTGAAAGTCACGTGCCGATTATTAGAAGGTCGGAACCACTACACAATGGCGGAACAACTGGGCCTCTAAACTCGTCAAACACAAAGTTTGGGCCGAAGTTGACGGAGCGCAACGATTGGTCTATCACGATGATGACTTCGCACTTGTTTCGCCGATGTCCAATCGGCGCGCACCGCGAACTTGCGGCTCCAACTTTGTGTCTGACGAGTTTAGGGCCCCTGGCGTCGTGGAAGGTGCAACTCATTCCATAAGATAGCGAAAGTCGGAGCGTGCTGACGCTAGAAGCCGGCGAGCCAAACAAACAGTGTGGAAAGTGCACCGTCACTGGGCGCATCACTTTTTTCTGCGGGTGTGTTTAAGCTCAATAATGCAGCCAAACGGATAAAGTGTGTCGTGATGTTGCGGTTTTAGTCCGCTATTGTGCAGGGGTTCCACAGCTGCCGACAGAGGGCAATCTTTCGAAAAGGGTTCATCAGATTAGCTGAGTTACGGAACTGCTCATGGACGCCGCATGCACGAACAGTACCCCCCCTCACTCACCACGACTCGCCAAGCGTCGCTCGACGCGCCGCCAGACGGCTGCTTTGGTAACGGAGTCAGGAGACGTTCGTTTCAACGTTACTAGAAACGTAAAAACCAACGGGAAAACACTCTTTTTGTAGTAACTTTTATTGGAGTTTAGTACAAAATGAGGGGCGCGTGATGTTTTCTAATATCTTTAGTTTGCTACGTTTTGCGGCACAATTAATATTGTTTTCATACAACCATGCCTCAGCGGCGATTTCAGGTAGCGCGTCCCGACCTAGGCTCATCTTAACTTCGGTGACATTTCGCGGCGCGTCCGCTGGGGAGTCGGGAGTGGCACCCCTGTAACCCTTTCCACTGTATCTGTTTCGACTCCGAAATGGCCGATTGAAGCCAAAATAGATGTTACGTGCAGTTCCTCGAGTGACCGCTGCAGGATAAATGGCGGCATTGTGATCGCCATTTGGCGCTTCGGCTGGGTTCTTTGGACTTCCATCGTAACCGAAAACTCGTTGTTTTGTTCAGTTTTTTTTTTCTACGTATCTCAGGTTACGATTGGAGAAGATGACGATTTGAGGAAAAAGAAATATATCTCCGAGTTGTTAGTTAGCGCTGCGAGTCTTTTTTTTTCTTCTTTCTTGTGTGCCTGTGAGAGTGACTGTGTGTCCGCTCTGTTCCATCCAAGCACGAATTACCAACTAGTCCAAATCACCACATTGTCGTCTGTCAGTCACTGGGTTCGCTTTCTCCTCCATTACCATATACTTCTATCAATGTATAAGCTTTTCCGAACTGTGTGATAGACTCGAAACCAATAAGAACTATGATCATGTTGCAAAAAATTATAATAGTTAAGTAAAAAATAGGAAGTGACAGAGATATGCGTCGTAGAATGGAGATGCAAATATGTCTTCTTTTTAAACGCGCTGCTTAATATGATACAAGCATATATATCAAAGAAATTTTATTGAACATTTAAAAACACCAAAACGCTTTATTATAAAAATACAAAAAATTACGTTGACGTTTGGATTTTTAGTTTTTCTTTTTAAGTTTACAATGTCGTTTCTTCTATATAAACTATACTTAAATTAACAATATTATAATTTTTAATAGGTTTAGATACAAGCTTTCATTTGACAGGTTTCTTTGCCTTAAATGATTGTACATCGAAAGCCAGCTTGATTCAAACTTGTCCTATTATTTTCAGAAATGCAAGATTCGAGAATTTTCATTGTATAAAATAAATCATATAACGCACTTTTAGAGGACTGTGACCCTTCTATACATAGTTTTAAAGCACACAGAAAAAAGCTATAATTGTGAAAAAAATAATCAAAAAGCTTCGAGACTCCAAAATGTGTCCCTCGTGAAACTGCAAAAATCTCAAGACCTCCGCTCTGCCATTTCGAAGCGCAAAACTCAAGAACAATAAATTTTCCGTACTTCTGTTTTCCTCGTTTGCTCTAGTCACATTTTCCACTAAAATACATTTTGTTTCAGAATTTTCGGAGGTCAAAATTTTTTATTGCACAATTTGAGATGAAATTACCGAAGTAATAAATCCCGAAGTCATACGCACTCAACCGGTTTTAATAGGAACAACGTATATATATATATAATAAACATTCAAGCTGTTAAAAATGCGGCACTCGAGAAACGTCAGCTACGGCCGTGTTTAGTATGGGCCTCGGCGAAATCGAAAGTCAATGCACGCACGTGCGTTGACGCAACTACGCTTGGTGGCTTGTGAGGTCCTCGCGATGCACAACGAGGGCCATGGCGGCGACGTCCCTGGGAGGCCGTTGTCGTCTGTCAGTCAATGGGTTCTTTCTCCTTCAGCGAGTGAAGGTCGCCGCGCTTCTCGCGCTTCGTGATATATCGCAGCAGGTCAATGTTGGTCACGATTCCAATGACCACCTCTTTCCTCATTGACGCCGTTCCTGCCACTGTTATAGAAAAGAAAGAAAGCCCATTCATACACCGGATTGCTGTACAAGATATGACATTGGTGACTTCAGCCAAGCTGTTTTCAAATCTGCTCTCAGATTTCGACGAACGTGTTGGCGTAGTTACTAAGAATATGGAAGTTAAATACTGAGGAGGTACAAGCCTGGTACATGCCAGTCCTTGTCCCTCATTTCAGTGCTTTGTGTTTTTGATACCAAGGTCCGTGAAATTATGACACAGTTTTGCATTTTAACTTACACTTTTGCGATCGATGTTGTGGAGCCTAGTCTGTTGCACACACTTCAGTAATACAAATAATAAAAACCTGCAGATATCGTTCCAGATTCCTTCTAAATAAGTTGATTCCAGCGGGCGGAAAGGATATGTATTGCTTGCAATACACACGTTAAATTACACCTGAACCTTTACACAAGGTATCCAACTTGAAACAAGTATTTATCGGTAGTAACAAGGCACAGCAACACTTCTTTTAGGCAATTCCTTTTTCGTAGTAATTATTTGGACTCCAAAAAATATATCGTTTTCCAACGTTACGGCAATAAAAGCAATTCCTACCTTGCATCTGTTCAGCGACAACAAGAGCGAAGTGTCCGTGCTCCAGGATTGTTGACAGCTTTCCCAAAGTCGTATCCAGCGTCACCTGGTTTGTATCAAAATAATGATAGTTTTAGTGAATGAAGAAATTTAGCTTCTAGCATGGCCCTCCTCCCTGAATGATATAGATGACAGGCTAAATAAAGCAAAACGTTAGTTGCTAAAAAAGTGAACAAACAAACAGGAATGGCAGTCATGTTCTTTTAGCTTCAGTCTTGGGTAGAATTCAAACCAAGGTAAACTTGACAGATGTATGCATTTTACAAATGCTGCAAGTTTTGATAGGTTAGCTTAGCGAGATTTCTTTTGTAACAGCGTAATAATATCGATGCATCGTTCAAAGTTTCTTCAGTTTCAAGTAAACCATGGCAAGGTATTTATCTCAAGATGCATAATGATTGCAAATATTGACAGACATGCAACCTTATCGCTCCGCAGTCAATGAGATTACGGTATTAGCTAATTCACGAATCCTGCATGCTTTTTGTTTTTAAATGTAAGGTCTGTTTGCTCAGTTCCCGAATTCCAGGAAACATTACACCGCGTAAGATAATTAAGCTACGCTGACGCGGTGATGTTCACGTTGTACTGTCGGTAGTAATACCGAACCCTTATGAGCCACAACTTGCGTGTACAGTCCTTGTCAAAAGTTCAGAGCCCACCGCGCGCGTGACCGGAGTGGGATTGGTCTCGAGCGGCGGCACTGCTATGAACGCTCGCTGACTGCGAGCGTTTTGAGAATCAGGGGAAACTTCGTTCTTGCGTCGCAATGCGAGAAGTCGCGACGCAAGAACTCTCAAAACTGATCCCATTCCGGCCACGTGCGCGGTGGGCTCGTGGCCGAGAGAGCTGTGGTCCGATCTAGGAATAGAATGCGAAGTTGACGTCCCAATAATTCGGGCTTTTTGACAAATTGAAGGGTAATAAGAAGTTTAAGAATAAAGGGTCACAATTCTTTGGGTCCCCCGAGCAGCTACGGGCTTCGCAGTGCGCATGCGCATATCTTCTGCGCTTGCGCAGTGCGACGCCCCAAGCTGCTTGGGGGACCCAAAGCGTCGGGTCCACCATATTCCAAAACTCTAGGAAAAGCTTATCGGGACCGTCAAATTCTTAATGTTGCCGATCGTTTCTCCTGACTTACAACCCGTTTGAGTGAACTCCTTAATTCTCGAGGGACGTTTCATTGCTCATGCCTGGAAAACGTATCGAACAACTTTAAGACTATTTCGATCCCGTGATTACGCGACCCTTTATATCCGCCCGAACAAATCATCCTTCATAAAAAAAAAAAAAAAAACTGGTTGGGGCCGCCCACCTTTTTAAACTGGTCATAGGCTGCCTTGGAGACCGGCGTGCCAGTATCGATCAGACGAGCTAAAATCTTGGACATCAGATTGCCCAAGGACACCATTCCCAAGACCATGCTGCAAATAAAGGCAACCAAGGCAAATATCACACAGCAGGATAAGCAATACAATCCCGAGGAGTTTTTACTAAATTAGCCTTGTGTAAGATCAGTGCGCGGTGAACCCACAAACATTTTAAAAGCGAGTACATTGGGGAACTACGCTCTCCACAAATTGGCTGCCACAGCTACTGTCGTTAAACCAGGGAAGGGCCAGATAGGCAGCCCAACTGCACAATTATAAAATTACCGTAGAGAACACGTAACAAACGTCAAGAGTTTAGTTTTGTATCTTTCAATTGCTGGAAACACAACAAGAGTTTGGAAATACCTAGGAAATACTAGGGCTAATTCAACAGTGTAATATCCTCGGAACATTATCGGCGTTCAGTGGCGTACCAACTTGTTTTTCAGTAAGAGGGCAAACCAGACCCAGACCCCCCCCCCCCCCCCCCCCCCCCCCCCCTCCCCAGGGCCGGGGGCAGTGCCCTTGGAATCCGTTGGGCGCCGCCGGCCAGTGTTTGCACTGTCCAGTGTCGGCTGCTTCAGGGGGGGTGGGGGGGGGGGGGGGCTAACACATGCTTTGACCCCCCCCCCCTCTGAGAAGTGGGAGGGGGGAGTAAGCGCCCCCCCTTGCCCCCCCCCCCCCCCCCCCCGGGTGTGTACGCCCATGTCAGCGTTTCATAAAGAAACAAATCTCACCACATTACGGGGTGCTCAAATAAATGTTTGTTTTACCAGCTTTGCGCGAAACTGATTCGATGCAGGCAAACCCTCCTCAGCGGTTTGAAATCTGACGTCTTGCAGTGACCACCAGGTAATGAAATACGCTGCCCGCGGACGCGGGCAGTCTTTGTCCAAATGAGGTTGACACACATGAGAACAGAACTGGCGGGCGGCACCGCACATCCCAGGGTCAAACTCTTTTAAAGGCCGTGTACTCACCCGCTGGCATCCACCACAGGCACCTGGTCGATGCTCTCGGCGCTCATGAGTTCGATGGCCTCCTGGCATGTCACGCTTGGTAGCAGCGTGAGTGGAATGCACAGCTTGAGGGACCTCACCGTCTGGTTCCACCACCTGCGCGACCACGAGAAGACATTTCTCCCAACGAAAGCCACTCGAGTATCACAGCACACTATGTCCACGAGGTTTCCTGTGGCGTACATAGCTTTTGGGAACAGTTTTCTACGTAGCTTATCCGACCAGTGTCAGTGGAAAACCGGCACTTCGTACGAAACGTGAGCCTAAAAGAATGACACACGCGTAGTAAAGCCACTAAACTAACTGCAATTGAATCGATCGTCCGAAGTCGATATTTCCACTGCACGCTAAATCTCACCAGTGTTTACTGCTCATCTCCGAGGAGAGATCCATGAATCCTCGTTCGACCATCCAAGTGTCGGAGAGGAATTTGGTCATGTAGTTGCGAACGCCGTCGGGGAGTACAACCACGCATTTCTGGCCTGGCTTGAGGGACTTTGCTGCATGCACGGCCACCGACATGGCCGCCCCGCTGCTCCCACCTGCAAAGGCACGAACGACCAATCAACCAGGTGTTGGCATCAGCGTGACTTCAAGGACGCTGTATTTGAGCACTTACCGCAGAGCAAGCCTTCCGCGCTGATGAGCTTTCTCGCCATGAGGAACGAGCTGCTGTCGTTGGACTTGTACCACTTGTCCACCAGCTGAAAATAGATTCGAGCTCCAAATTTAGTTGGGCGAAGCAGTCTTTTTATAGGAAACGCAATACCACAGGAAGATGCAACGCTTGTTTAAGGAATTGCCTTAAAGCAGATGCGTATATATCATAAACGCGGTGAAAACTTCTTGTAAACACACGCAACACACGCGCGTGCGCACACACACACGCACGCGCGCACACGCACACGCACACGCACACGCACACGCACACGCACACGAACTAAAGTGATTGAGGTTAAGGTATAAAGCTTTCAATTATTCTTTATTAATCCAGGGTGTTTTGTCCTGCAACGTTAACTGACTTGTCCCAATACTCTCGTCCTTAGGAAACCCCAAATGACAATTTAGCTGCTTCTACCTTTTAGCTATATTGGCATTGGATTTCCAGAAATGCAGTCGTGTGTACATCTGAGTGCAAAATAGTTGTTTAAACTAACGTCCTTGCTTACTTCTCTTTCCAGAACGGTGGGAATGAAATCGTAGCCGATGCCTTCCACGTCGTACATCGTCACGCGAGGGTCATCCGGTTCGTCAGCACCAACAGCCAGAATGGAGCCTTGCGGATCCACTCCGATAATCTGAGGACGAAATATCAGAGGTCACAAAAAATACTTTACGAACCGCACCATCCTGCGGTGTGACCAAAGCACACATCACGATGATGCAGCTTGGTGACTGACAGGTACTTGTGAGCTGGTTCACACATTTGCATCGGTTGCGTCTACAGCAACCAAATTGACAGACACGACAAAAACGCCGGGACAACCGTGGCTCTTGATAACTTCACGAAGCTACTTCTTGTATTGCTCGTCACGCTGTGTCAGCTGTGCACGGCGAACTTTTCCCGGTGTCTCTGGCGTTGCTGTCATGTCTGTCGCTCTGAACACAACTATCTGAACCCAAGAAACAAGATGACTTGAGCTGTCAAATGCGCATGCGCAAAAGGCCTACCTTGCAGTCTGGCAGCTTCTCCTTAATTTTGCGGGCCACGCCCGTGATGGTGCCCCCGGTCCCGGCACCCATGACCACCATGCTGACGTTGCCGCCACACTGTTCCAGGATCTCCTCGGCAGTGGTGTCGTAGTGGGCCAGTGGGTTGCCCGGGTTGCGGTACTGCAAACGAATTCCAGTCTTTCAAGGCCAACAACGCGCTATCAACGGCACTGTGAATTTAAAGTGCACGAACCACTCTGGCGAATGGTGGTATTGAACGTCAGCGAGTGTCCACGTACTCGTTTTATACTTCGCTGCCTTGACAGCCGAGACGAGGTAGCCGCTGGCTAAAGCGTAGCTCAGCTTTGCCCGCGGAGTCAAGCCGTCTATGACACCGACGACCAGAGGCATCGCTTGAGGCTCACCTGGTCCAGGATGACCCCTCCGGGGATCTCCTTGCAGAGCCTGAAGGCGACCGACAGGTGAGACTCTGGCGAGTCGTAGCGAGCGCTGGTGGGCGTACGCACGATCTCGGCGCCCAGCGCGCGCAGCACGTCCACCTTCTCGCGACTCATCTTCTCCGGCAGCACGATGATGCAGCGGTAACCGCGGATGGCAGCGGCCATCGCCAGGCCGATACCTGCGCCCGGGACAGACGTCAAGGAGTCTCAAGTAAGGAAGCTGCCGTGCCTCGGGGCATTTTCAGGACAGAGCAAATTTAACGCTATTATTATTTGAGAGGAACATTGGTGCATGTGTTGTGGTGTGGGTTATATGTACGTGTTTTGATGCCCCCTGATTGGGGAGAATGAATGAAGCCAGAAAATATGAAAGTGCTGAGTTCTTATTTTTAGCATAATTAACCTAGGGTAATGCGCAAGTTGGATATTTTAAAGAGCAGAGTATTTTGCTAGATATACTGCAGGGCAACTTATCGCGAACACGGCGTCGATGCATTTTCTCACCAAACGTAATCGCTCAGGTTGGAGACCGGAATAAAAAAAAAAAAAAACCAATGCGGCCATCGCATGTTCTTGCTGACTGCGTACCTCTTGAAAGCGCGCTACATGAGACGACCTGCAGCACATGGCGGAACAGGGTTGCCGATATCGCAATCCTTGCTCGGGAACTTCAATCGTTATACAAATATTAAAAAAATGCGTTGCATGTACGTTTTGTTTAAAAAAGGCTCAATAGCAAAGGTGTTTCTGTTGTTGCAGCTTTTCACACTCGTCCAAGAAACTGAAAACTGCATGGCGCCCCCGGAGAACAAGCATGCACATGTGCAGCTGTAGCACAGTTTTAAAAATAGGGGAATTGACACTTGGGCCCAAAACGGGTGTAATGTAGCCTCATTTTTGGTCAGCAATGCTGCTGCGTGCACTGGCTTTCTTCAACTTTGTCAGTCTCTGATTTAATTCATAAGGCAGGGGTACTGGCACGGCTAGACCTTGATTCTTAGGAAACTATAGCAGAGTAGCAGAAAATTATCGCATACTAATTTACGAGTGTCTAAAGAGAAATGCAAAAGTCAACATCAAGTACGAAAAAAAAAAAAAACGATAGACAGAAGCCATCTGTGTCTCGGTATCCTACTCTTTCATTAATACACACATTTATTAAAATTGTTAGTTTAATACTAGCCAACGTTTCTTCCTAAAAAAACAAATATAAAGAAACAGCTTCGTCCAACTTAGCAGCGCTCTAGTGTGAGCGAACAGACGCTGGATTCAAAGACCCACTCGCGAAAAAGTTCGGGTACTCACCCGTGTTCCCCGAAGTGGGCTCGATGATCACGGAACCCGGACGCAAGATGCCGTCCCGTTCGGCCTCCTGAACCATCCGGAGTCCGATTCGGTCCTTGATGCTGCCCCCGGGGTTGAAGAACTCACACTTGGCCACTGGAAAATAAGCGTGGAAAAATGGGCGACTACTGAAAAGCAACCGCTTGTCGTGACAGTCGGGCCATAAAAAAAACACAAAAAAACCAAGTCTTTCATGGCATGTTGCCACTACCACAGTGTCTACAGAATGACTTGATTTCACAGGAGAGTCGTATTCTGAAGATCTGCTAGGACTGCAGAATTACTAATTTTTTTTTCCTTGTACAGGATCACGAGCGAGCCGAAGTAAAATGCGACACCAGAATGGCAAGTTTCGCCGCTCCAGAAGAAGTTTGGTCAGAATACGCTGTTAGCATCTGATATTGTCTTTCCTGGGAGCTGTTGCATGGTATGGGCATAATTCGATTAGCACGAATTCTATTCTCCTGTACCTGTGAGCGCATTGAACCTACCAATGGCCGCCTAGAACGTTACGGTGAAATATCGGGCTACGTGTAAAATTAATATCAAAGGCGTCCGAAAACACTGTAAATTTTATGTCACACCCTGTATATATATTGTAGCGGTGCTGCAGAGGCGCGTGCTAGAACCCACCGAGGACAAAGACGAAACGCGTGCAGACGGCGCGTGACACACTTCTAATTTGGTCTGATTTGGCTGTGGACGTCCTCTTGTAAATTAAAAACGTAACAAAATATATATATATATATATATATATATATATATATATATAACCTTTTTTTTTCTGCTTAGCTGCGATCACATGACCCTGTGTGGCATATCCTCAGCTCCGTCGCGACACAGTCACTGACAGCGTGAGAAAGGGTGGGCGTGGCGAGCATCTCATTATCGCTCCTCAGCCAATGAGAAGGCGTCGTCAGCCGATAAGGACCCCAAGGAACCAAGCACGAAGTGTGAAGAGTGAACATAAGAAGCCCACGCTCTGCGTTCTGAGGCTGTCGGCGGTGAATTCATAACTCCCGGTCTCGAACTGTCTCATGCTGGGAGGTCAGATGGCAGAAGTCCGTATAGCACTTACGAAGTTCGCACTCGAGGCCGTACTCCTTGTTGATCTTGTTGATGCGCACCATTGGCGTGTCTCCGACGTGAGCCAGAATGTCCGGAAAGATCTTTGCCTTTGGTCCCCTAGAAACAAACATGCACGTCTGTCACGAACTCCAATTAGATACGAAATATAGAAAAAACATATCGAGACCAATTATTGCATTTGAATTTTATCGACACACGTCGGTAGTAGGGTGGACTGCTGAGGGAGCTTGAGGTTTGTTACAGCGATATTACAGCGATGGTGCAGCGATGGTGCATCGATTTGCAGCGATGGTGCATCGATTTGCAGCGATGGTGCATCGATTTGCAGCAATTTGCAGCAATTTGCAGCAATTTACAGCAATTTACAGCAAATTACAGAGATTGCTATTAGTAGGACACTTCGCGGTTTCGCGCCGTCGACAGCGCTCCATATCGACGCGGGCCATTTTCGGCACTCCACTACAACATTCCACGGACCGCGATAACAAGATAACAAGCAAGCAAGATAACATGCATGGTCAGTAAACAAACAGTCCCCGCCAGGCAATCTGGCAATGCACTGCGATAGGTGTCCAAGTGATCCAGAATTAGCGGAAACAATTACGCAGATAAAACTGCCTTAGAATACTACGACGCATTCTGTTTCAGAAAGCGACGGGAAATCAAGTGCGTTAGTGCCCCATCAATGCACCTGACTGATACAGTTTTATGTTCTAAACGAATCGCCAGAAACATGGTATTAATAGCATGTTTGTTTCAATAAACCTTCATTTGAGAGTGCACTTCGATCGTCTCGTCTGCATCCTCGTCCCTGTATCTTCGTCACTTTTCGTTCAGCCCGTGCGACTACTTGCACCGAAGTGACGTATGAAAACAGGCTCCCCACTTACACAGACAGCTGAAATTCTCTCTCCTTAATACACCCTCCTTATTGGTTCCAAAACGCTATGGAATTTTCGTCCGGTGTGTTACTCGGTTGAATACGAAACGCCTATGCGGACTCTATGGTGCGCGCTTGCACCTTCACCGTTCATTCAGTGCATCCGCTCCAAGAGGACAGCTTAGCGGCTCCGACATCACACCTCAGACGTCTCTGTGTTTCAGAGTTACTAGATTACCTCAGTTGTGGAACTAACGCGTAACTCTCACGCCCTTCAGTCCGCCTCCCTTCGTTTTAAAGCGAAAATTTAGATTTTCGCTTTAAAACTAGATCTTATAAGAGTACGGTGGAACGCCATCTGTAGTCGGTGACAGGTCAAGAACGAAGTGGAAGCACCGCCCACCCCTTTCCACTCTAGTAGAGCGAACGGTGGACAGGATGTCGTCTCCTCTCCAGCGTTCGCTCTACTAGAGTGGAAAGAAATGGGAGGAACTTCCACTTCGTTCTTAGTCTGTCACCGACTATAGACGGCTGTGCTTCGAATCGTACGTATTCCACAGACTGCAGTTAGCGTAGCAGCCGACCGGCGCGTCGAACAACAGGAGGCGAGTCGTGGTGTGCGCGTGCGCGCGCGCGTGTGTGCGTGTGTGTGCGCGTGTGCGTGTGTGTGCGCGTGCGTGTGTGTGTGCGCGCGCGTGTGCGTGTGCGTGTGCGTGTGTGCGCGTGTGCGTGTGCGCGCGTGTGCGTGCGTGTGCGTGTGCGCGCGTGTGCGTGTGCGCGCGTGTGCGTGTGCGCGCGTGTGCGTGTGCGCGCGTGTGCGTGCGCGCGTGTGCGTGCGCGCGCGTGCGTGCGCGCGCGTGCGTGCGCGCGCGTGCGTGCGCGCGTGCGTGCGTGTGTGTGTGTGTGTGTGTGTGTGTGTGTGTGTGTGTGTGTGTGACAATTCTGACCACCGTAGTTTTTCCTTTATAAATGTTTATTCACATCATAGATTGGGCCATATCACCATGGTCGAGTTAATTTCCATCGGCCGACGCTCTGCGACAGGTGCCCGACGTCTACAATGGCCATCTGTCCAACGAATGGCCGACCTCAGTGGGCAAGGAAGAGTCCAAGTCTCTGTTGTTTAGCGAGCATTCCCCAGAACTGCCTCAGTAGCGAAGCAAATGCCGGGCATAGCTCTTGCTTGGTGGTCGACATAAAATAAATAGAGAAGCCGGGGATTCGCCGAGCATGGCCATGGCCATGCTCGGCAATAGGCCAAGCTAAGTTTGAGCCCCGATAACTGCGCATTTGCCGTTGACCGAGCATTTCCCGATTGGACAAAGCATGTAAGTACCCAGCAGTAACCATAATATGTCCGAAAAAAAAAAATGTACCGGCGAATGTACCGAATTTTTGTGATACAAAGGACTTGGACCTTAGGGGGGCGCATCGGTTTGCTTGTAAGTGTGAATTGGTGTACACAGCATTATTGGCGACGACACCTCACAACGGAGAGGATGAAAGCATGCCGTGAAGACACCACGATACAGCCGAAATGAGAAGAATGAAAGCACAGCTGCACTCAGTTTCACCATGTTTCACTCTAAGGGCGAGCTAGAGCCCCAATGCGAGTGTTTAAGCAATGAGAGCGAACTCCCAACTCCCGCCTCCCTGCCGAGCGCGTTCGCTCATACGGTGCAAACATCTTTCAGGGAAACATGCTCCTAAGTGTAGCCTCGGTTTCACTGGCACATAAAGTGAAAGAAATTATAAGGCGCAATCCTCACGAACGCACAGGAACGAGTTCGCAGCTCTAATGAGCAATTCACCTTGTGGGTAGGGAGCGATTCAAAAGCGGCCCATGCTCGGGATTTTAAAGTGGAAAATGCTAGCGCGCGCAAGAGATACAAGAAATAAAGCTCTCGAAAACCGCTCCAAATCCACCAAGGAAATTCTCCATGAAAAGCAGTTTGAGAGAGCCCGTGCTGGCACGCGCTCTGTGCTGCCAGATGTTGCAATTCAGGAATTTATCCTCTGTTTTCGTCCCAAAAAAAGCCTTTACGACGTTCAAATTAAGAGCTATGCAAACTTTTTGTAATTTTTCTTGACAGGACGCGTCTAAAGTTCTTTCGTAACAAATACGCTATCTTTCTGGGCTTTTTCGTTATCGCGGAACATCTTCGTGCCAAATAGCTAAACATTATCTTGAGGGTCCATTTAACCAGATTGCTTTATCAGAGCCGAGGCTACAAAGATAACCGCAGTTAGGGTTATTTTTGCGGCTTTCAGGACTCTAGTGCTTCCCAATGGCAGCCTACGCAAGTTGGTGGGTCGCTTACTTCGATTGCAAATCAGCATACTCTCAAGAGTCCTCTTCTAAATGCTGGACTTTCTCTTCGCATTGTGCAGAAATGTAAAGATAGTCTTATCGGTGTCCAGGAGACCGACAACAAGGTAGGTAAGCACAGGAGTCTCAATGTTTTTATCTGGAGGACAAACTTGGACAGCCTATGTTGTGAACAGCCCTTCTATTCGCAACTCCAGCTCGCAGCTCGCCCTCTCGCGGACGAACGGAGAACCTGAGGCGCGGGGACGGCAGTGGCGGCAGCGGTGGCCCGGAGGCGGTGGCAAAAACTGTCGGCCTTGGTGCCTTTCGCACTTTCGCAAAAACAACAACAAAAGCAACAAAACGAGAAGGGTAGAAATTAAAAATGGAACTACTTCGCGAATGAACTCATTTTGACATATTTTCGGGAGCTACAATTTAACCTCGTGTATTGGTGCGTTGAGCCTATTTGGAGGCAAATCATAACCATGAAAAAATGGTCGGAGCACCCCTTTTACTCGACGTCCATTTTGCTCGGCCAGTGCGGTAGCTATGACGACCGGGTAGTTCACTCCAGCCTGCGGGCAGTGTAATCGGGATGGCGCCCCCAGAAATCTTTCAAAGCGTCGGCTGGTTGCTACTCTCAAGTTTCCAGCGGGGGTCCTTCTCAGGTTTTCCCTAAGCGTCGAGAAACCATGTAAAAGAAGGAGACGAGGGCGCGGGGACGTCAGAACAGCGAGCTCCGGTTAGAATGACTAGAGGCTACGCGTAGCTAACTGTATTTTTCTCTAACACACTCGTCGAATGTGTTCGGAACACCGGCGTCCGGCGTTTGGCTTTCAGATGCAAACGCGATCGACGAGTGCAGTGGAGACGAAACCTGTGTTCCAAAATTTAATCGATCCAACTCCGGAGTAAAGGTTCTGTACCGTGACGTTTCAAAACTTACTCGCGCTTAGTCGATGAGGTCAGAACTCTCATTCCAGAAGCGGATTGTTTACTCCGGAGTAATTCCTAACGCTACTTTCCTCGATCGGCGGGTAACGTCGGATCAAATCTAGTCAAAACGTCACGTGATCTCTTCGCCGTCTGCTCGTCGTGTGCTTTCTGCGCCGACAGCCGTCAATGCTTGTTTACTTCGTTGGCTTTTGGTTACGGACGTTCGAAATGACAAATAATAAGGTGCAGCCATTTGTGTGCGGTTATTGCGATTTGCTGTTTTCGCGCCACATCCAGACCGTGCACCTTCCCCGGGAAGGTATACCTGTTGTTATTGTCAAGGTGCGAGCGGAAACAAGAGATTTTCCGCATCCTCGTCCTCGCGTTTGGAGGGAACTGTATTTTTACGTTCAAGGCTGAAAATGTTCGAACACAGCAGATGGTGTAGAATTATTGCCGCGCGCGCAGCTGGCCAAGCAGGCAGCGCGTGCGTGGCCTAACGGCTAATGTACAGTGCCCCTCAAACTTAACGCCGCCACTAGATCGTCCGGTTTATTCATTTATTAAGCTATTCCTGAACCTAGTGGTCGAACTACTTGGTGAACATTTGCGTCCCCGATAAGAACCCAATAAGGTTAAGGTAATCGAGCAGCTGCAGCGACCAATTTATCTTTGGGTAGCATGCAATAGATCAATATTTGCGTAACCGAGTGGCGGCGTTAAGTTTGAGGGGCACTGTACATGCCTTCCACGCGAAAAGCCAGGGTTCGATTCCTGGGAGCGAAGCACCTTTTGTTTATTTCTGCAATTTAGTGTTCTGGTAAATTCGAGAATACTGTTGCTTGTTCGAAGTCCGAATGTTCTACGCGTCGAACCATCTACGCCGATCATTCTAGAAGCGCCAAAGTCAGTTTCGCCTCAGCGTTCGATCCTGCTGTTTCACCGACTTCGACGCCCGCGATGCTCTGT